ATTCTTCTCAGGGGAGGGGCAGGCATCCACTTAGTATTTGGGGCTGGGACCAGCCCCCTAGACCTCTCCACTGATTCCCTACTCCACGCCGGCATCCAACTTCAAAATTTTTCAAATTTTGTATAGTAATGTGATACTCCCATAAGGATGGTTATATAGATCAATGGAATAGAATTGATAGTACAAAAACAAACCTATGTTATCTGTGGTCAGTTTTTGGAAGGGCATCTAGACCACTTCATGAACATTCTCTTCAACAAATGGCCGTGGGACAACTAGATGAGCACATGCAAAAGCACGAGGCTGGGCTTGTGCCTTACGCTGTACACACAAAGTAACACAAAGCAGATAAATACGGAAATACCAGAGCTAAAACTGGAATAAGCTTAGAAGAAAACAGAGGTAATTCTTCAGGACCTTGTATTTAACAATAGTTTCTCAGATATGACATGAAAAGCAGAAGCAACAAAAGGAAAAATAGGTAAATTAGAGTTCATCAATATTGAAAACTTGGACAGGCCTTAAAGAATATTATCAAGGTAAAAGATGGATGGCAGAATAGGAAAACATATTTCTAAATAATATATTTGAAAAGTCTAGCATCCAGAATATAAAAACTCTTCTAACTCAATAGCAAAAGACAAACAAGTGACTATAAAATCGACAAAAACAATTGAATAGACATTATCCAAAGATTCGTAAATGGCCAGAAAGCACGTGAAAAGATACTTAACATCATTAGTCAAATCGAAACCAAATGAGATGCCACTTCACCCCACTAGAATGAATTTGACAACAGTACAAAGAAGAAGAAAATACTAAGTGTTGGCAAAGATACCGGACTGCTAACCTCGAGGTCACTAGTTGAAAACCGTCAGCAAGTCTGGGGGAGAAAGATGAGACTCTACGCCCTTGGAGCGTTAGAGCCTCGGAACCCCGCAGGGGCCGTTCTAGCTCAGCCTTCAGGGTTTCTCTGAGTTGGAACCAACTGTGAGCTGTGAGTTTAGAGGTCTCTTTGGAAAAGATGTGGAGAAATTGGAACCTTTCTGTGTTGTGAGTGGGAATGTGAAATGGTGCCTCTGCTAATGGAAAAGTCTGGCAATTCCTTAAAAAGTTTAAGCATCAGGAACTGGAAACACAGGGAATCCAGGACAGATGACCTTCAGGACCAGTGGTGAGAATGGCAATACCAGGAGGGTGGAGGGAGAGTGGGGTTGAAAGGGGGAACCTATTAGAAGGATATACATGTAACCTCCTCCCTGGAGGATGGACAAGGGGGCGAGGGGAGACATCGGACAGTGTAAGATATGACACAATACTAATAATTTATGAATTATGAAGGGTTCATGAGGGACGGGAGATTGGAGAGGGGGGAAAATGAGGAGCTGATATTGAGGGCTCAAGTAGAAAGCAAATGTTTCGAGAATGATGATGGCAGCAAATGTATAAATGTGCTTGACACAATATGCATGTATGTATTGCGATAAGAATTGTACGAGCCCCCAATAAAATGATTTTTTTAAAAAGTTAAGCATCAAATTATCCTATAACCCAGAAGTTTTACTCTTGGTTCTATAAGCCCACCCCCCAAAAAACACACCCAGCAAACAGGTGTTCCTAAGAAAAGTTTGCACATGCATATTCATAGCAACATTAATCAAAATTCAAAAGGTGGAAGCAACATAGGTGTTCCTCTAACACTTTCCTGACAACTCACAAGTAAGCTCATGCTTACCGCCCTGAATGTTGCTGACCACATAAGAGTTAATTCACCTATAACTCCACCCCCTCTCCAGGAGGATGAACACAGAAACGTGGGCGAAGGGAAACAGCGGCCGTGTAAGATATGTAAATAACAATAATTTATAATTTATCAGGGGTCCAGGAGGGCATGAGGGTGGGGGTGGGGGGGTCGGAAATAGGAGCTGATACCAAGGGCTCAAACAGAAGGAAAATATTTTGAAAATGATGATGGCAACATACGTACAAGTGTGCTTGATACAATTGATGTCTGGATTGTTGTAAGAGCTGTAAGAGCCCCCAATAAAATGATTTATTACATTTTTTAAAGAGTTAATTCATGTTTGTACTTAACATTAGTTACATTAGTTTGTGTAGCTTTTAGGCCTGAAAGCAGTATCGACCTTTATAGGAAGGAGCATTTTGGTCATACGCTTGGTTATCTGTGTTTCGGCCAAGAGTCTAAGAAGTGTACATGTGCAAGATAAGCCCTTCGGCACCCTTCTTTTATTGTGGCAACCTCCACCTTCCCTCTTTACTATGGTGCCATTGGGTGTAGTGATTATGCATTGGCTGTGTCCCGAAGGGTCAGCATTTCGAAACCACCAGCCACTCCTCTGGAGAAAGGAGGGGCTTCCGCCCTGTCCTGTAGGGTCGCCGTGAGTCAGCATCGTCTCGATCGCAGGGAGTTTGGTTTGGGTTTTTAGTTGTTGTTCTAGCAGCAGCCCCAGAGACAGGATAGGCAATACTTCTGCCCATATTTTAGAATGGCTAAAGTTTCAAAAAGTACATATCACAGAAGTGAAGAACTTTTGAGTGAATTCTGTGCAGACATTTTGTCTCATTGTTGAGTGACTTTGGCACACATGGAAGTCAGCTGGAAGTTGATGCTTTATTGGAAGATAGTAATAGTCTGACATTAGACCATCACGAAGGCCAAAAAGCAATGGAATCATATTTGACATCATTCTGAAGAATGTACGGAAAATGACATTTTTACCAGTCTTGGAGGATTACATAAATATTTCAGGTGTAACTATTCAACTTGAATGTAAGTGAAGTAATGAACTAACTTCTTGGTCATGGTTTCTTTGGTCTGATTACTTCTCAAACCAACTTATACCATCACCGAATGGGAAAATGTCATAAACCACCCGTCAGCATTCATCGTGGATGGAAGTTACCAATAGGGCGATCAAGAGGTGTCTTGGGCTACTGAGACTGATGGGATAAATGAACAAGGCAGAGTGGAAGGAGCACTGGTCAGCTAAGGCTTGGTTTGAAGCAGCCAGATTTCCTAAAACTACAGCTAGACCGAGGTTTGAGCAAATCTTTACATTCTTTCACCTTCACAGTAAGTAACTCACAAGCTACAGTTAACAAAGACAAACTTCAGGAAATCAGACTTCTTTTGGGTCACTTCATCCCAAAATGCCCATCTTGATATACACACCAAAACAGCAGTGGTCACTTAGTGGTGCAGTGGTACCGCCTCAGGATGTATAATCCAGCAAAAATGGAAAATGTGGGATCTCAGTGAGGCTGCTTTTTGAAAGTAAGACTGGCTATGTTTGCAACTTGGAGATTTATTCGGGTGAAGGCAAAAAGTTGCAAGACGCTGTATTATCTGTCTTACAGCCTTTTCGTGGTTCTTGTACCATGCTTACCTAGATAATTACTGCAGCAGCCGTCTGCTGTGAGGTGCTGTCCAGTCAGGTCCAACTCATCGCGGCCATAGGCAGTAGAATACACCCTGCCCAGCCCTGTGCCGTCCTCACAGTTGTTCGGTTTGACCCCCATCTCTCCAAGGCTCTTCCTCACTTTTCTGTTCTGTTTTACCAAGCATGATGCCCTTTCCCAGGGACTGTCCCCTGCTGGTTACACATTCAAAGTGCTTGGGAATGAAATCTCACCATTCTGGCTTCTAAGAAGCATTCTGGCTGTACTTCTTTTGAGAAACATCTGTTTGTTCCTTCGGCCCGTTGTGGTACTTTCAACGTCCTTTGCCAGCACCATAACCCAAATGCATCGATTCTCTGATCTCCCTTACTCAGTGTCCAACTTCCATAGGCATATGAGGCGACTGGATTTAATACTCTGCCGTGGGTCAATCGTACCTTAGACCTCAAAGTGACATCCTTACTTTTTAACACCTGAAAGAGGTCTTGTTCAGACTTATGCAATGGAATGTGTCATGTATCTCTTGACTGCTGCTTCCATGAGCACTTATTGTGGATCTAAGCAAGAAGAAATCCTTTCTCTGTTTGTCATGATGTTACTCACTGGTCCAGTGGTGAGGATTTGGGTTTTCCTTATGCTGAGTGGTAATCCAGGCTGAAGGCTGCAGTCCTTGATCTCATCAGTCATTGTTTCAAGTCCTCCCTTTCAACATGAAAAGTTGTCATCTGTATATCTCAGGTTGTTAATAAGCCTTCCTCCAAACTTGATGAAACATTCTGCGTTATATGTTCAGTTCCAGGTCACTGCAGTAAAGACAAATCTCACAATAAAGGAAGTCCTGTGAATTTTCTGGTTTCCTAGTATGTTATGTTTACAAGATAGTATAGTCTGATAATGTGGTAGTTACGTAATCTTGTGTTAATTTGTGGATTAAGTGTGTAGGGGTGGAGACTAGCCTGTCAATCAGGATACAGCCAATGAGACCTCTGTATGGGCATGGCCTTCTCCTGAGG